TCCTTCACCTCAAGAAGCAACAAAATGTCTTGGGCCAGCACTTGGCTTTCCAGGAAAGACCTTGAGATTGAGATTGGAGAGTTGGGCTAAAATGAATGTCAATAGGGATAAATGTAAGGTACATTTACATTTCTACAGGACAGGTTGTTGAATTAGATGGCACTTTCCCCCCTTCTAACACTAGGATTGTGTGATTCTATTACTTTAATGCAGGTGTGGGGGAGATTCTGTTCCATGGGCAAAGTTTGGAAAATAACTTTTAAGATGAACAAATACAATTAGCTCCTGAAGCTATTCAAAATTAACTGACCCAGTGGTAGTCCTAGAGCCATCTTCCAAACACTGCTTTGGTATGAACGTCTTTGCTTATGGATGGCTTCATCCTGCCAGTATATTAATTCTTCTAAAGGTTGACTTTCCAAGGTCTCGCTACAGCCAAATGGAGACCTCCAGACTTTCCATCTGGACTACCTAGGCAACATTCCCACAGGGCCTGCTCCTGATCATTGGAACCATTCACTCTGTCCCATTCTGCCCCCCACCTTGCCAACACTTATGGGTGAAATTTCTAATACCTGCCCCTAAAGACCTTTAAATGTGACCTGTATGATGTAAGAGACTGGTAAAAGAGAATAAGAATGCAAGTTGAATGTTGCTATGGAGGTAGAGGAGGAGGAAAGGGGAGAAACGAAGAAGACAAGCAGGACAGATGGAGAAAAAGACAAGAGGAGATAGCTGCAGAGTGGAGTAGAGCATTGAGAAGGAAGTGCCAAGATGGTGGCAGTGAGGGGAAGGGAAAAAATAGTCAGACAGAGCAACACTTAGCCAGTGAAAACTGGTGAAACTTAGGAGCCAAAGTCTTATTTCTCTCTCCTAAAATCCATTGGATGGAGGCTTTGTTGGCTGTTTGGTTTATTTTTATTTATAATTTATTTCTTTTCCTTTTGCCTGGCAGGACTCCTGAGGCAATGTTTGTTGTTGTGTGCCTTCAAGTCATTTCCAACCTATGGCAACCCTAAGGGGAACCTAGCATAGGGTTTTCTGGGAAGTTTCTTCAGAGGGGGGTTGCTGTTGCCATCCTCTGAGACTGAGTGTGTGTGACTTGCCCAAGGTCACCCAATGCATTTCCATGGCTGAGCCAGGATTCAAACCCTGGTTTCCCAGTGTCCTAGTCCAGCGCTCAAACCACTACACCACACTGGCCCCCTGAGGCAATATGCAACAGGTGAAAACATTTAAAATATTAAATATAAACAGATTAAAACCTTTCAAAACAAATTAAAACAATTTATTTTTAAAAAAATATTTCCAATTCATTTGGAATCAATTCATTCATTTGGGCCACGTACCAATTGGCTCCTTCAGTGCCATCCTATACATGTCTGCTCAGAAGTAAGCTCTAAGAGACTTTCTGCCATATATGTACACCAGGGATGGAAACCATTTGGCCTTTCAGATGTTTTGAGACACAACTCCCAGAAGCCCCAGTCAGTGATAAAACAGTGTGGGGAACGTAGTCCAAAATATCTGCAGGGTTTTCCTCCTGCCCACTCCACAAACAGGATTGCAGCTGGGGCTAAGATGTGCAGTTACATAAATGTGCTGATAAATACAATTAGCAACCGGACTGGCTTGGTGCAGCGTTTGTGTCTGCTTGAAAGAAAACACAGGTCTGTTTCATGTCAGATTCCTTTGGTTGTATATAGATCTGTCCTTATTTAACACTCGCCTCCAGCTGTGTATGGCTAGGCTCATTAGCACTCCCTGAAGGACATTTTATTACACTGTGACACTTCAGAACAGCTCCTCTAGTTTTGTGCTTGTTTGCCCTCTCCTGCACCCCTTTGAATAAATCATCCCAAAGCAGTCCTTTATGTACAGCAAAAGAAAACACTGCATCTAGAATCATCTAAATAGCTAGGAAAGAACCAAGCCTTGGAGAAGTGGTACGAAAAGCTTGCTCACTCCAAGAACTGGGATCAACTGATAAGAATGTGGGCAGCCAGAGAAAGGCATATCAACTTGGTTCCCTTTGGTCAGATTCCCAAGTGTTGCCTGTGCTGTGCCACTTTCAGTTGCCTGTTTTTGCTGGGCCCTTAGCACATGAAGGGCATGACCCCTGCTGGTTTCAGGGACTTGCAAGTTGGATAGACTTTTTTTCTCCTTTTAAACAGAAGCTGTTTTTTTTTCCTAGCATCATTGAAGGGCTGCACCTGTCAGCATGGAACCCTGGCCTTGCTTTAGTACCCAGCATATCTTCATACAAGACATTTACTATGCCAATTAATAAGTCATGGCTCTGCTAGCCATAAGTTATGGGATCTGTTGTCCCAAAAAAGCAAGTGTTCTAAGCTCTGATTAAAGGACGTAATGAACAGTAAGGTACTGGAGATAAGAAGACATCCTGAAACCAGACTTTGAACAGCCAAGTGCTGGAGCTTCAGTGTCTCTGTTACCTGTTCCCAGAATGGTAAGCTCTTTGGGTCAAGACCAGTTGCCATCTACACTGCAATGTCAGGCAACCTGAATATTGCTCACTGGTCCCACAGAAATTATGTGGACCAGGGTGGGCAAAGGGTGATCTGCACGTGGTTCCTTGAACCCGCTTATGTGGCCCCTGAAGCCCCCAACCATACCCTTCAAACCCTTAATTTTATTTAAAAAATGGCAAATTTTGGAACAATTAGTGCCCCAAAACCATGCAGAAAGTTCTTGAAACTTGTGGAAACACCTAAAAATGCCCACTGACCCTCACAAGGTCCTTCTCACGATGGTAACAGGAGGTGATGCAAGAAAAAGGAAGGTATATGGAGTTGCAAGTCTTGTTGGGGGAAGGATTTGTCTCCTGCCACCCCTCATGCACATACACATACACAGTTGCCTATCTCATTGTAGTGAAATCAAAACACATAAGGCTGAAGTGTTGGGACATTGATCAATAAAAGACAGTGACCACAGTTCTCTAGTCATGCAGAGTATTTAGCAATAGCTAGATCTGCAATGGGCAATTAAGAGGCACTGGCTTTGCAAAACACCTTTTCCTGCTGGAGATGGAAACTTCAAAAAAGGGTTTGATGATGTTGTTCGACACATATTTGGACTCTCCTTGGGGATGTAGCTATTGGGAATGTGACAGTGAGTGCCTGCTTTTCAAAATTCACTGTCAGGCAATTCAGATTCAATGGATCTTCTAAAGGCCTGGTGTCAGAACAAGTTCCACAGTCTGAGCAATTTGTTGCTGGGGAAAATGATAGAACATCCCTTGCCCCCATGGTGCCAGAATAGCAGTTCTTCTCAGATGACATCTCCCAGTGCTTACCGGCATTTCAGATTTAGTTGTCTTTTCTAGTAAGTCTTCTCATATGGCTACATATTTTCAATAAAAGCTTTGTCTTTAGCATATTATGGCCTTTGTAATCAAGCCCGATAGGAACTGAGCTAATTGTGCATATATGGAAATGTGTAGGTTGTTTGGTTTTTAGTCCATGCGATTTGGGGGTTGGCTGGAGAACCTTCCTCCCCTTTACTCTCCACAGTTGCAAGCTTTTCATGTATATGTGATCCTCTTTCTTTGCCCTTCTAAATGTATCTACCTGTGTTGTTCATTTAATGACACTGCAATGCTGCTGCTAGGACACTAATCATGAAATATATGATCCATACCATGCCAGACTAACTACAGTTTAGGGCCTCAGATTATAAGGGAGCTCAAAATCTTATTTAAAAGAATGTCGTATATAATGCTATAATGCTATGGGACAACTTCAATTTGATGTCACTTAGGGCCTCAGCATGTTTTAATCTGGCCCTGAATATTATGCTAGAAAGACCTTCAGTATATTACCACCAGGACAGCAAAATAACCTGCCCTCACCTGCCACCCCCAGAATCAGGGTGTTGTTTTTTTCTGTTTTGGGGAATCTTTGGGAGTGACCCTTCCTCCAGTATATTTCTTAAGCATCTCTGGCTGTGGAACGTAAGTATACACAGGGTTGAAATAGATATACAGAATCTATTTTGATATCTATTCCCAAGGTGCTTTGCAGCTATTATTAATGGGACCAGACCTATCATTAGGAAGAATGAAACAGCTGCTTTAGGAAAGAGATTTTTGATGCCATGAAAAAACAGCACATTTTTATTACATTATTAGTACCAGGAAGGGTTTCCTTGTGGGATATTCTTCATTATGCGTCAAAATAGCTCACTCTAGCTATGATGACTTGAGTGGGATACACAACATTTGCTGCTCTACCCCAGACTGTTCAGTTGCTTAGACCAACCCTGGCTGTTAGGAAGGCTATGGTCCATTTCTTTTCTTTCTTTCTTTTTTCTTTCTCTTTTCTTTTCTTTTCTTTTTTAAAGGAAACCTCTAGCACTTTTACGTTGTGGAGCTAGGAGAGCAAGTATGCAGACAATCTTATTCAAATTCATCTTTCCCTTGAGGAAGGTTCTGGTGGGATTTGTAACCTATTGGGATGACTCTGTTACACAGACAATGATTTGCACTTATTGGATTTACGTCTATCTAAAGCACATATTTGTGCTTTGTCTGCTTATCTACAAATGGGATTAACTACAGTAGACAATCTGCTCCCTTGATGGGTTTCAGCTAACCAACTCATACATGCATAGCCTATTTATTTCCCACCCAAAGAATAAAGCAAAACAAAATATCATCTGTTCTCAATAGGTCCCTCAGACAAGCAGTTGAGTACAGAGGAGCCATTTCCCTTCTAAAGCCAGTGTCTGTCTGTGCTCATGCAATTGATCATACTCTCTGCACATAAAGCCATTGTGTGAGATCGGACATGATGTATGTATACAGTAAGTGGTTCATAATAATCTTGACACTGATGCAAAAGTGACTGGGAGACCAGACTGCCCATTTCCCTTGATTTATTCACAATGAGGCCTCTAACTGCCCAACGGAATCCCAGCCCAGGAAACTTCCTTACAAACTGAATGCATATCTAGCATAATATTATCTCCTGTAGAGAGCCAGTGTGGCGTAGTGGTTTGAGCATTGGACTATGACTCTGAAGATCAGGGCTCAAATCCCTCTCAGGCATGGAAACCCACTGGGTGACATTGGGCAAGTTACATTTTCTCATCCTCAGAGGAAGGCAAAGGCAAAGCCCCCCCTGAATAAATCTTACCAAGAAAACCCCTTTATAGGTTGGCTTTAGGGTCATCATAAGTTGGAAACAACTTGAAGGCACACAACAACAACAACAACAACAACTGTCTCTCCTATGGCTGGCAGTTGGCTCAGTGATTAAGATCTTTTCCATCACCTTCTGCTAATTTATCATTTTCATCTAAGACTGAACCTGTGGCATTCTACATTCAAAACAGATGTTCTGATACTTTGCTACAATTCCCTCTCCTCCAAAACTATTGCCTAGGGGAAATAGTTTTCCTCAGGAAAGAGATGCGCCTCATATTTTTCCCCTCTTGAAAGAAAAAAATATCTTTCTGGGGCCAGTGTGTAGTAGAAGAAAAGATTTAGCAGCAGCCATCTCCCCCTCCCCAATGTCACCCTTCTGCTCTTGAGTGCAGTCTTTCAAGGCTACTTTTCATTTTCAGACATGTCAGAGAAAAGGAGAACTAGAGGGGCCTACTAACACATCTATCTGCACCTAAAGACAAGGAACATGACTATCTTGTCTCAGCCAATATAAACCCAAAGGACTGAAGGGGGTAGTAAACCAGTATAGGCAGTATAGTGCCTGAGAGAGCTCCAAAGGAGCACTTTCCTCTGAGTAACAGCTGAAGCTCATCTTAGCCAAGACTCTCCCTTAGGCAAGTTACACTCTCTCAGCCTCAGGGGAAGGCATGGCAAACCTCTTCTGAAATATTGCCAAGAAAATCCCATGATAGGGTCGCCATAAGTCAGAAATGACTTGGAGGCATGCGACAACAACAAGGGAAGGGCAGAGAGATGGGAGCAGTGACACAGAAGTGCCCAGCTGTGAAAGCCATGTTTCCAACCCCCCTTGGCATACGCCTTGTTGGCTCTCTAGCCAAAGTGAGGTTTTCAAGACACTGGCCTCAGAAACGGAGCCTCTCCCTGCCTTTCCCCAGCAGAGGAGCCAGGTGAGTGAGGTTGAGAAGCAGGAGATGATGATGATGATGATGATGATGATGATGGGCAGACCTGAGAAAGCAAAGGGACTGACAAGAGCCAACGAATGGGCAGGGGGAGAGTGGGATGGAGAGTGCATGCACAAAAAAGCAAGGGTGAGCACCAGCACAATGTGATGCCATCAATTGGCAGCTGCCTCCTCTGAGGCCAGCTTCCCACTCCCTCCTCCATGGTCTCCCCACCTTTTTCTCCCTCAGTGTCAGAGATATCTGTCTGGAGTGGCGATGATGGGGATTTGTTGGAAGGAGGGGAGAAGGGAGCAAGAGAGGGAGGCAAAAGGAGAACTGGTGAGGGCAGCTCTTGGTTGTCTGCACCTACACTCGTCTTGCTCATGGTGAGGCCTCACAGTAGTTTTCTGCCATGTCTGTCAGTTGGTGGCAGAAATCTCTGTGGAGCTGGCTACCCTGCAGGAAGCAAGGAACTGCTTTCACTGCTGCTTTCGGTAGTTGCTAACTGTTTAGCCTGGAGAAGAGAAGGCTGAGAGGTGATATGATAGCCGTGTTTAAATATTTGAAGGGATGTCATATCGAGGAGGGAACAAGCTTGTTTTCTGCTGCTCCAGAGACTAGGACCAGAAACAATGGATGCAAGCTGCAAGAAAAGAGATTCCACCTCAACATTAGGAGGAACTTCCTGACAGTAAGGGCTGTTCAACAGTGGAACGCACTCCCTCGGAGAGTAGTGGAGTCTCCTTCCTTGGAGGTCTTTAAGCAGAGGCTGGATGGCCATCTGTCAGGGATGCTTTGATTGGGAGTTCCTGCATGGCAGGGGGTTGGACTGGATGGCCCTTGTGGTCTCTTCCAACTCTATGATTCTATGATTCTATGACTGGTCACTTGCCTTGCTGGTAAATCTCAGAAAGAGAAAGGAAAGGAAATAAGATACGGTATTCTGTATATTTATTTGCCAGGATGACTAAGAAGCTTATCACACTGCTAAAATAAACCTTCTTACCTCTCCCAACTTCAATCTTAATTCAGGTTGCATCCAGACATTATCACAGGGATTTTGCCACCGAATCATCACCCACATCCAGCCCAGATCGAGCCTAGGTCCCAGAGGTGCTCAGAGCACCTCTTTTCGAAACTAGAAGCTTTTTGACTTAAGAAAATGTCCACTGGAGCACCCATGCTACTTGAATTAAGTTTGAATTTGGGAGCGGTAAGAAGGTTTATTTAGTGGTGTGATAAGCTCCTAATTGGGATGCAGTGGCTCAAGCTTCTAATTGGGATGCCGTGGCTCTGTTGATTGCAAGATCGGCAGGTTGGCAGTATGAGGCCCAGGTGCTGCATGATGGGGTGAGCTCCTGTCACTAGTCCCAGCTTCTGCCAACCTAGCAAATGGAAGTAGATAAATAGGTACCACTTAGGGGGGTTGCAGACTGCCAGAAATAGTGCAAATTGAGTCCACTTTTAGGGTTAGGGTTAGGGTTAGGGAATCATGGGAACTGTATTTTATTGTGGCACCAGAACTCTCTGACAGAGAAGGCTCAATGTCTCAGAAAAAAACCAATTCCCATGATTCCCTAACCCTAACCCTAACCCTAAAAGTGGACTCAATTTGCACTATTTCTGGCAGTCTGCAACCCCCCTTAGGTGGGAAGGTAAATAGTGTTCTGTGCTATCAGTAATCTTAGTAACGGAGATGAGCACCGCCCCCTATGGTTGGACATGACTTGACAACCTTGTCAATGGGGAATACCTTTACCTTTACCTAAGCTCCTAATATTCTTCAAGAGACTCATTTTGGCTTCTAACTTCAGTTGCTTCTTAAAAAGGTAGAAGCAGAAACTTTTTGCTTTAATATTTCAATTATTCTAGTCAGAGAAAGAAATGCAGTAGTTGTGATTATTCACAGCCTTCCAGGATCTAGAACACACTTGCCTGAATGCCATAGATGCTTAAAAATAATGTTCTGGCTTTCTGTTTCTCAACCATCTTTGCATCAATATCACCAATACTGTATTAGTAACACAAATAGCCTAAAAGGCACCCGATTCTGTTGATCTTGGAAACAAAGCAAAGTCAGTCCTGGGTAGTACGTGGATAGGAGACCACCAATGAATTCTAGGTGCCGTAGGCTATATTTCAGAGGAAAGAACTGGCAAAAACCATTGTTGAGTATTCCTTGTCTAAGAAACCCCTATGAAATTCATGGGTCAACATAGGTTGACAGGTGACTTGAAGGCACACACATATAAGCACACAGAAGATTCTCTTTAAATCTTGTAGAAAAGGCTGCAGGAATGAACTGGTATTCTTCCAGATGAATTGGAGAAAGAAAAGTTCTGGGCACCACAATTCAAAAAGGATATTACAAGCTGGAATATACAGAGCAAGGGAACCAAAATGGTAAACAGTTTGGAAACTGTGCCCTATGAGGGAAGTTTAGCCTGAAGAGAAGGTTGAAGGAATCATATGACAGCCCTGTTTAAATATTTGAAGGGATCTCATATTGAGGATGCAGTAAGCTTGTTTTCTGCTGTTCCAGAGAATAGGACCTGGAGCAATGGATTCAAACTACAGGAAAAGAGATTCCACTTAAACATTAGGAAGAACTGTCCTTATTCGCGAAACACCTACACAGACCAGCTGGGAGGGAACCATTAACTGATAGTGCAGGTAAAGGCCATAAATTACCAGCAGCTAGAAAGCATCTTAGCCTGTGGGAGTCTGTTAGAAGAAAAGCTTTTATCAAAGCAGTCTGAGTCAAGGGAGACAACAAGAATCAGGGTCAACATGGTCCAAGGGTCAAAGAAACCAGGACACAAGTATGAAGTGCAAGAGTCTGAAAACATGTTTCAGGGACAGAAATGATGACAAGGAAACATGCAAGTTGCTTCCAGCACTCACCTTAGGCAGACTCAGCTCTAAAATGGCCTCACACTAGCTGGTCCTAATCAGAGCTTCCTTGTTGCTGCTTGGCCCACAGCCTGGCTGAGTATCTTTGCTCTATATATTTTTCTCTCCTCCTTGATTGAGGACTTACGATCCTAGCTATATCCTCTGCTTCATTAGCCAGTGAGTCTTGCCTTTGTCCTGCTGGCTGAGGCGGCAGTTCAACAGGATGAACTGGCTGAGGCTCTTCAGCTAGGAGAACTGGCTGAGGCTGCTCTGCAACAAGGAGAGCTGCAGGTTGCTCTCTGTCTGGAAGACTTGCCTCGTCATCAGACTCTTCCTCTGGGTCCCAGTCCTGCAGCTCCTGGCACATGACAAGAATGTCTAGATAGTTAGAGCTGTTTGACAGTGGAACACACTGCTTTGGACAGTGGTGGAGTCTCCTTCTTTGGTGGTTTTTAATCAGAGACTCGATGGCCAGATGTTGAGAGTGCTTTGATTGTGTAACAGGAACCCTGGTGGCACAGTGGTGAAAAGCCTGTAGTGCAGCCACTCACTTACAAACCACAAGGTTGAGAGTTCAATACCAGTCAGGGCTCAGGCTCGACTCAGGCTTGCATCCTTCTGAGGTTGCTAAAATGATTACCCAGCTTGTTGGGGGCAATTAGCTTACAGTTGTAAACCACTTAGAGACTGCATAGCATGGTATGAAGTGGTATATAAATGAAGCTGCTATTGCTATTGCTATTGCTATTGCTATTCCTGCATGGCAGAATGGGATGGGACTTGATGGCCCTTCCAGCTCTAGGATTTTAGAATTCTATGATTCTAGGATTCTAAGTGCATATCAGATGATGACCTTTTAGTTTATTGTGAACACCTAGATGCACTGCACAAAGACATGTTTAACAGATTTCAGGATTATTTTTTTACTCCTTAGAATACCAGACTGGGTTATCCGTCCATTTATAGATATCAGCAATGAAGAAACAAGAACAATAGAGAAATAGTGGAGTGATTTCACTAAAAAATGACATTGAGTTGAGGACAATTTTTTAAAAATCATATCAAGATTTTTGGTTCCAA